TGCGATCCAGAGGTTTCTCTCTACAAAGTGGACGGCCGGACATTTCCTGTCAGGTTCAGATGTAAGGGAGTATTTTTCACATTCACAAAAAAGGTCTAATGCTCACCTCCGCCCGAATCCAAACAGGCACGTAAAAGGGAGCTCGCCGTTTCCCCAAGGGCGGAAGGAGAAACCGCTCAGGGATGAATTTGGTTGGGTTTTTGTAGGTACTCTCGTCCAATGACATCCCACTGTGAAATAGGATATGTTGTAAAGAGACGACATGAGCAGGAGAAAACAACACAGACCGAACATTCGCAAGGATCAGAGAACCTTTGGGGATGTACATTCCCCGATAGACGTCGTCCTGAGTGGAGCGATGAGGGACACCTGAATACTCCCATCAGGCTTGCTAGCCGCATAAAATATACATGCATACCGAGCGGAGCGACTGGATTCCACCTGTCAAAAGTTACAGACTTCGGCGGGACAACGGTGTGGGATGGAAAGCTTGCCGAAGTGTTTCCTGTAATATGCACTCAACGAACGGTAGTTTTGCGCGGTCTTCAAATGTAGGAAACCGGGAGGTCCCGACGACAGAATCGATTTCTTTCTGCGCTCTGATTTTGGCATTCTGGGTTCAGGACCATCGCGAGCAGGAATACAGCCACGACACTGCGAGTCTGCGGAGTCTGTTAACTATTTTGGCACGCAACTCAAAAAACATTAGAATTACCGGAAGCTCGGCCCCAAATAAAGTTGCAGCTGCGCCCTTGAGCTCTTCGTAATCGAGTTCAGATGCATCATTGTCCATCTCCTCCAGCTGCGAAAGCAGAAACGATGGTGAGGCATCGCCAGATTCCTGTAAAGACTGAGACGATGAATTTCCGGGCAAAAGATGATTGCTTGCCCTCTGTCGCTGAACGCATTCCAGAGGATAGTCGTATAGCTTGCGAACCACTGGCCTCCATGCTCTGGCGATGCCAGCGTAATATGAACCGGGGAACCAGCTCGGAAAATAGCGAACTAGGTGCAGCATGAGTCCGCGGGGAGGTGCAATGAAAAATGAACACTTGCGGGGTGGAAAGAAATCAATCGGAGTGCCGCCGGGCGGGCCTGTGACGGAAAAAACCTGGTGCACCATCTTCGACAGCTCGAGATATGGGTCGTCATCGGAGTCAATTTTATGGCCTGCAACGACTTGAACAAGTATACTTGTGGTGAATCTGCGATGTATGTGGGAGTTTTATAAACGTATAAATGAAATAGGGGACCTACTTGCTCAAGACGGCACCATACTTCTCTGTTGGTGACGCAAAGAGATTTCTGACGAGCCGGCGCGCCTCTTGAGTTTGCATTGGCTCGAATTCAGCGCACCTTTGGCTACTGAAGAAAGATTGGTGTACTTGGCGGTGTCTAGTAAATATTTTGCCATAACGCATAAATGACAGCATGTATGTCCAGCCTAGTCTGTGAATCATATATTAAAGTACTGCTCTTAAAATTGTGATGGCTCACAATTCGTAAAGAGGCAACGGTGGTCTAATCGCTGTAGATGGAGCCCCTTTTATCAAGAAGATCGACTGCAGCTTGTAGAGTATCGAGAACAATCATTGACTTTCCGAGTACTCGAAGATGCATCACATCGCCTACGACGGATGAGCGACAGTTGCACAAACAGTGACGCTCAAATACCAACCGTATGTTTTGGCCCATTCATGGAATAAGGATGGGGCTTGAGCCGTTGGCATATACCGAAGATGTCCGATGAGTGGGTCTTTTGGTGGTCCAGGAGGTAGAGGTCGTCTCTCTATTCGTGAGCTCCAGAGATAAAGTATTGCGATACCAGCGACAAGCAGGAAGTATAGGGTCAGTGTCATTATACCTCTCGGGGGGAAAGGTGGGTAAGCTGGTTGATCCTGCTCTGTCAGTCTATTATACACTTTCCACCGCTGTTAGTTAAGCCCCGAACTGCAGTGTGCCGAAGCAAATGGCCGCTGCAGTGTCCCAGGACGGTGGGTCCATTACCCACCAGGTCGGACAGCTGATTGTCTCGGGAACGAGTTATATGCCCGCATAGGCACAGGTCCGGGATGGATACCAGTGGCCACTGATGGCTTTCAATAGCTGTTGGTCTCCAACAGTATATAATACAAGAGAGCGCGATGGAGTGCTTCGCACCCCACCACTTCAATTGAGGAAATGGCGCGCATTAAACTTTGAATGAGGCAGGATTGTCCAAAACTTGACTTCAGACAGACAGGCGCGATTTTATAAAGAGGGAGACACGGTGGGGTGCTTCGCACCACCACTTCGATTGAGGGGGTGGCGCGGATTAAACTTTGAATGACGCAGGTACCATAGCTATGGCCCTGATTGACCAAAACCTGGCTTCAGACAGACAGGCGGGATTTTATAAAGAGGGAGATACCTCGGCGGCATCTCGGCAAGGTTGCAAATTGTATTCATAGTCCGCTGTGCCGACGTGGCGGCCTCTCGGCATTACGCTTCGACCTTGATATGCTCAAGCATGTGGTTGGGTTCTTTTGAAGTTCCGCAGTTTATCGCCACAATCCACTTACCCAAACGAAGTGGTGGGCCGCGAAGCGGCCCACCGCGCTCTTGTTGGAATCCCGTCTATCGCTTTCGGCCGTTTCCGTACAAAGCCATTGGATTCTGATGGCTTTTCGTATTGAGTCGGAGTTGACTTTTGATAACAGTACGATCTTGGCTAGATATCAAGTTATACTACTACAGTATGCACAATGGGTCTGAAAATTAGAATTTTCTCCCTTGCTCAACTTTTGCTCTTCCAACCAGGTCAAGTTGACGCCCGGAACGCTTGGGTATCACACTATCGGCCTCAAGATAATAAAGCGGTTGTAGACTATGGTCGGGTCGCCTTCTAACCATAGCTGATTCATTTCACAATGAGCTTGAAGGAAGTCGAGGTTCGATTCCTCGCGACGGCGTGGCCGAATACGAATTTGATCTTTTTGCCTTTTGTTTCGGGCAGACAGGCCGGATTTCTTAGGCGCCGAAAGAAGCATTAATCAGGTGATTTTTGAGGTGACTCAAGGTGGCTCGAAATTCAAGTGCCTCTACTTTTCCAAACGTTGGACCATGTCAAGTTGACGACTCCAACAAAATGCACAGGGATGATAGGGCCAGCTTCACAATAATAATAAGCTCTTTGAAGCTGTTTTAGACCATGGTTACAATAAAATATCACCTTGCCAACGTTGTGAAGGAAACCGAGGTTCGATTCCTCGCGGCGGCATGATTGGAATTGAGTCACCTATTTTGCTCTTTTTCTTCTCACATCCGTCCAGTTCACCTCAAGACACAGAATTCTGGGTCGAGTTCAAATTCAAGTGACAAGTTGATGTTTATTGTTTGCCCGTTTCAACCACGCTTCCAGATAATTGATCGCGGCTTCAAAGTCGACGTCTCAAATGCACACAGTCAGCTCCACAATGCTTCCACCATTACACCCAGCCTTTATTCGCGGAGGAGCCGAGGTTCGATTCCTCGCGACGGCATAGATTGGGCTGGCCGGACTTTTTTGCTGTCCTTCTTTCTTACCTTGTGCCGAGGATGAGTCCCATAGGATGTGGAAAATTGATTCGGTCAGTCAAAGTCAAAGTTGGAAACACGTCGGTGGCTCGAACCTTGAATTTGGGAATCGAATGATGTTTTGCTCTTCCATCCAGGTCAAGTCGGCACCTCAAATCAAACACACATGTATCACACCGCCCGCCTCCCAATAAATAAAGCCGTCGTAGACCATGGTCGGCCGCCTTCCCACCATATTAATCCAATCGCTCGAGGGCAAGAAGGAAACGGGGTTCGACTCCTCGCGAAGGCATACACAAGAGGCACTGTGTTTTTCCTCTTTGCATAACTATTCGTGCAAAGTCGGTACAGGTTGATTCCGGTTCTGAAGCAATCCGAGATAAGCATTTTGTAGAGTCAACTTCGAAACACGCATCGGTACTCTGAATCTGAATCTGAGCATTGGCCCCGGGGGCAAACTTCAAGTGGCTCGATGTTTCCGCGCGCGCCTCTCCAATCAGAGGTCGACCCATATGTATCACACCGTCAGTTTCACGATAATGCAGCTGTCGTGGACCACGGTCGGTCACTTTCCCAAAATGATTTTTTTGTTACATATGCGCGATGGAGCAGAGGTTCGATTCCTCGCGACGGCATGCGCGCAGCGAAGTGGTCGTTTTTTCTTTCGTTGTGTAAGTTGTAAATCCGCATGTGTTCCCAGGGAGTTGTGGTGCAAGGCTGGAAGTATGGGGGACTAGGGCTGCCGCCTGTTACCGTGACGATAACAGCCGTCGATTTGACGGCCGTTTTCCCATTCCGAAACCTCTGACAGGAATGAAATTGAAGGAGCTCAACTAATGTTGCCTCGACTCCAGACTTGAGCCCGACAAAGTCGACTTGGAGTCACCAATTTAAACCGAGTTGAGTCGAGTCACTTTATCGACTCAAGTCGACTTGAGTCGACTTTGAGTCGGTACAGCCTAGTTGCACGGTTCGTCAAAAAAAACGCGATTGGGGACAAATTGGGGACATTGTCGAATTTTGTGACAGGAGTGACAAATTCACGCTTGGTGACAGCCGATTTTTTTTTTTTTCCTTTTTGCGTTTTTTCAACCTGCAGAGTACTTAGAACGAGTTTCTGAAAATTTGTTCAAGAAAAGTCGACTCAAGTCGACTTACTCAACTCGACTTGATTCGAAATCGACTTAGGCCGACTTGACTTGCAACGACTCGACTTTCCGAGTCGTGGCAACATTAAGCTCAACTAGTTAATGCCAGTCTGGACCACAGCAGGACTCAAGTCCTGCCAAACTTAAGTTCTGCCCTGCATGTGATCAACCTGTACATGTGTGGACCACACCCCCTGGAACTTAAGTCCCGTACCACTCAAGTCCTGCAACACTTAAGTCCCCAAGCACCTTAAGTCCTATTAAAACACTTAAGTCCTGCCCCAAACACCAAAACAAATCCACCAATGGGATTTGAACACCAAGACCTCCCAGCAGAAGGTGGGAGGTATTGACCACTACACCAAGAAGGATATAAGTATCTTGAACACACGGATACAATATTAGCCCCATAATGGCCTAAAACCTTCTCCACTTCCTTATTCTCCCTCTTCACATCCTGTGGCCAAACCACTATCCATAGATGATTTAGAGATTGATCTGTTTCAATAAATTAATCTATATAAAAAACATGATGAAAGATGGACTGGAAATGACAAGTGAGTCAATACATATGCAGGACTTACCATGGTACAAAGAGGGCATGGAAAGAAATCTAATCACGGTCGATGAGCACTCCAGGTATGGTCTTCTTGGTTCTAGTGGTCAATTTCTCTATCTTTCTTCTTCTGTAAGTCTAAAGGTCAGATGTTCAAATCCTTCAGGTGGATTTTGTTTTATGTGTTTGATATAATCCTTGTTGCAATCACTTGAGTTCTCTGTCACTTAAGTCCCTCTGGTGGTCTGGACCACCTGGAACTTAAGATGAGCTAATAAAGTATCTGGACGGGACGGGACGGGCAACGGGACGGCCGTGGCGGCTGTGATTACGGTAACGGGTTGGGTTCCAATTCAACTCGCGATTTTGACTTGATCTCGACTCATACTGTCCTATTTCGTTCAATTTGTAAGGTGGTTTGGGGTGTGACACCTTCGTACGAATTGAACCTTTTGTAACCGGTCCCCTTAAGGGAGTTTGATCCGCCGGCAGCGCTCGGCTAACTTCGGCTAGCTCGGCTAAGGCCAAAATCGCCTCTGTGATGCAGTGACTTACAAAAATTTTCGTAGATTTTTCGGTGTGTGACGCGTGACTCTACTAATTGAACGAAATACTACAGTATATGGGTATAGAATGTGTTTCAATGTCTTCAATTGACCAGTTACATGTTCACCCCCCGCTGTTCTTTCGGTCTTTGTGCAAGCTTCTGGTGTGTTTGAACCTCGGCAGTCCTGTTCGGCCATTGCCGATAATCACAACAATAGCCATGCACACCACCGATTTCTGGTCAACAGATCTGGTGGGAGGGAAATATATGAACTAAATGAGACGGCTTTCAAAGCATTCAACTGTTTAAAAACTGGAAAATTCCCGCTCAAATGGTCAGTTTAAAACCAGATTCAAATCACCCGTTGAACGGGCCGTCACAGCCATTGTTTTGACGGGCCGTAGAGGGAGCTCCAAAATCTCCGACGGGACGGGCACGGCACCCGTTCGACGGGTGCCGTCGAGCCGTCGCGACGGTAACGGGTGGCAGCCCTATGGGGGACCTCAGACCGAGTTGGAATTTATAAAAGCTTGAGTCGACAGCAGTGCCCAGTTGACTCGGATCGCCTTGCGTCAGATGAGGTCCACCCAAATTTTGGATTGTCGCGCAGTAATTTAGGGACTAAGCTGAGGGGCTCTGGGATCAGCTACCCAGTCCAGAATAGTAAAGAAACTTTCAAACTTGAAAGTCTGAATCCGCAAAAAAATCCGACTCGGAAACAAGTTTGAGAGAGGCGCCAAAAAAAAAGATTCCAGGAAGTCCAGTCTAGAATTGCTAGATGATTTTCACGGTGGTGAGTTGAGGTGAGTACTGCCACATGTTTGGACCTTGATCGGACAAACAAAACTCCTCCCAACCACCTTGTTAACGCGTCCCGCTGCATCCACGGCTTCAATTGTTACCCACACGTGTCCGATGCCTTCGAATCCTTGAATAAGCTGGCTACTCTCAGGTCTTGTAAAACCCAATTAATCCAATCAAGATTCATCCAATGGACCAATGCGCCTTCTTCTAAGTCTTTGTTCGGCCTGAGGCCTACTAGTATATTCTTGAACGAGCATCTGTATTAGAGCTAAGAAGTTGTTTGGCCGACTCTCCAGTGCTGGTGGAATGTAATCTAGGCGCTACCCTGTCCCAGCAGCTTTCCCGGATCGTCACATCACATGCTCTGCAATCGCGTCGCGTCGCGTCTTGGTGGCATAACATGACCACAAATATATTCGGTACTTCCCGACGAACGTTTCTCTCAGGCTTGAAAATCATCAAGCAACCGGCAGTCTCCTACCCGGGCCTTATCGTGTCCAGCTGCCGTAAGGTTACGTACAGAGCTGAGAAATTTGCGCTGCAAATGCATAAAACCAGATGGGGTGCTGTCTGTTCGGGGAGAACGCCACCGCTCTTCTTTCACCAATGCGGAGGCCGAGGAGTGTGGGTTCTAGCAAATGCTAATTTTTGATCCACGACGGCTTTTCTGAGGCTTCTCCACTTTGACCACACGCTCATCGCTCTTCTTGCTCCTCGAGTAGGTGTAATCTTCTTATCTCTTTCCCAGCAGAGAGTATTTAGACATGCTGCACGGACATAAAGCTCCTTCTGACCGCCCTTTCCTCTCACTCGGGTCTATAAAGCAGTTCTCCCTTCCCCTTGGGGTACGGTTCGGGTCCTTCCTAGCTTCGATGGACGATGAAACAATCGAGTTGGCCAAGCAAACGTACGTGCTAATCTTTTTTTTTTTTTCGCGGGCGTCTCTGAACCGAATTATTCAACAGAATTCAATTGAACTATCATCACCTACTTGGCATAAGTGAGTCCCACTTCTTGCTTCCGGAATCTATCCCTGACTCGAAAACTTCCTCCTGTCAGCCATTCTGTATTTTGACCATCTAATCACTCTCCGTGTGCGGTGCAGCAAACCCTACAACCCAGATACTGACTAGGATTGACAGCTGATGAAGTTCAATTCATCTGGATCCGGAGGAAGTCCGTCAGTTCTTTCTGGTTTCTCCTGGTCCGTTATATTGGCTTCACGGGCAACCTTCCTGTGGTGCTTTTTTCGTTCACGACACTGTCACCGAAAGTATGACGTCCGCCCATTTGAACCGGACTGGGGTTTACCTCTTTTTGCAGGGGTCTGGACGAACATGTTATCTCCATGCTGCAATGAAATTGACGACACGTTGTAGCTGTGAACAATACTCCTTTGGACACCAGATTATTCTTGTCGTAACACAGTTTCTCGTTTCCGGTATGTTGCTAAGTTTCTTGTCTCTCTCTTACTCACGGCCGCAGTCATCGCGATTCTACGCACCTATGCTCTGTACAATCGCGATAAACGAGTGTTGGGGGGTCTGGTCATCCTTGGAGTGTGCTTCATGGCCGTCACCTCTGTACGTCTCGTCACTGGAAGCATTGGCTCTGACAATCGCTCACTCGCACCCAGTGGACGGTTCATGGACAGCACTCTATCCCAGTGACAGTCTTCCCTGGGTGCCATCTCGGGGTGACAGAGAGGACGTTTGTGTGTTTACTTCTTTCCTCATACACTGATTCACCATGCAGTTCAGCGGATACCGTGCGTGTTACGCGGAAATTGTATCTCACCGATCTCACCGACACCGACTAAATGAAACTACGCTGTAGACCTGTCCGCGTCCTGGGTGGCCCTATTTCTCTTCGACGCCACCATCCTAGCCTTGACCTTGCTTAAGACATATTCGACGCGGCTACTACTGGGCGGGGGCGAGGAGATTCCACTGCACATGTTGATAATGAGAGATGGTGCGTCGAAATAATTTTCTGCATCCAACGCAAACCACTCCGCCAATCTAGGTGCGATGTACTTTGCGTGAGTCCCCAGGTTCGCATGCGTGTATATCGGATTTTGAGACCGAAGGGGCCCGCTATAGTGCAATGGCATTTGCCAACCTCGCGAACATCATCACATATTATGTGCGTTTGCTCACAATTAACCCTTCAATGGCAAACAATTTGATTTCTGAATGCTTGCAGTTAACGGGCGTATGTCTGTCCCCCGCCTTACTGATTGAGGCTATCACTGACCGCTCGCTCACAGCCGCTCATCCGTGGATCCCTCTCGACTTTTGCGAACTGGTATGTTAGTTTGGTTCAATTAGAATTTCATTCATGCATTCATTTTCTCCAGCGTATCCGTTTCGATGATGTCGCGCCTTGTGCTCAATCTCCACGCAAAGGCCAACACAGGCATCCTCTCGGAGTTGAACTTTGAAGAAGCCGCTCCTCTTGATTTCCGGGAAACCGGTCGAAAGCCCTGTGGTCCCATGGATGAGGGGCCAAGCGACACCGCTCCCCATTCCGCCAGAAGTTGACCCCGAGCCGGAGCCGCCTGGTGGCATCTCAGTGGTTCGACGATCTTCTGAAGTCTAGAGTACCGTTATTATTCATGACCCTTGTACAACATGAGATTTGAACTTTACGCCCAGCGTCCAATTCAACGCATCTCACTCTGATTCTCATAGGGATCGGTTATTGCATTGGCTTTTCATTTTGGTGGTCTTAGACTCTCGCGTGGAGGCAGGTACTTATATATAGATCTAAGTTCTTCCTTGGTTCAAGCTCAGGGCATGAATAAGACATCCCTAGCTTCCTCTCTGTCTTTGTGGAGTTTTGAATTGGGGTGGGAGAGATCTTGACAAGTATTGAGGTAATATAAGATACTGTGATACATCTTCTTCTAACCTTAGCGAGGTAGGCTCCAGCGGAAGTTCCTACCCACTACCAGATAGGCACGGCGCTACTACAGCCCAGCACGCGCTTTACGGATAACACGGCGGTGAGCCGCACTAATGGCATGTCCAATCTTCAAACACCTCCGCTCGCCTCACGTCCTACCCCTGCACATCGGTGGAATTATCAGCACCAGTGGAAGGGAATATCGGGTCGTCCGCAAAGCAGACGGTTCCCCGCTGCAGGAAGCGTTCCGTTGAAGAAATATCCCCGAAGATACCTAAAAATGGATGTCGAAGGCGCGCCCACTAACGTGTGCTCGACATTTAAATCAGATGATTATTTCGATACCCTGTGCACGACGTACCGCGAGGGCGTCCAAGTCAGCAGGACCCGGGGAATAATGTCGCGGCGCTTTTTGCGCTAATCGTGGCCGATGAGGACTCCGGTCATTCCAGGCAGGATCGATACACACCCTGAGATGGGTGTAGCGGTGGCGAGGTCCCGGTTAGGGAATCGGTTCGAACCTGAACCGAACTGAACCGGACGCCGCGTTCTTCGAA